AAAGGGTTTTGTTGATGTTTTTCTCTTTTGTAACAGCTTGCATTAACTGCTTGACCCACTAATTTTCAACTCGTCTCCTCTTTTAATATAAGCATATGGAGCTGTAAAATTTCCTAGAGTACCATTGTGGATACAGCCTACCCATTTTGATAAACAATATTTTCATTAGCATTGGGTTCCAAATGTCTTCTCATTTTCATTGTGATTTGTCCATGGAGCCTTGGATTATTTAGAAAGCATATGTGTATGTATATATGTATATGTATGTGTATGTGTATGTTTAATTTTAGTACCTATGGGGAATTTAGGGATCTGTCACTGATTTCTAACAAAATGTTAGAAAATAGGTCTGTAAAATACTAATCTTTTCAATTTTACTGAGGTTTGTTTCACAGCCTAGAAAATGTCCATTTTTTCCTTAATGCTCTGTGTAGCTTGAAAGGCTTGTATTTTCCTTGTCTGTAGAGTCTACCTAAGTCTTTGATCAGGTTTGTTAATAGTGGTGTTCGAATTTCCTAGAACCTTTAGTCAGCAAGATTTATCAATCACAGAAAGAAGTTTGTTGAAATTCTGCACAACGAAGGTGGATTTTTGTTCATTTCGCCTGGAATTCTGTCAGTTTGCTTTATTATTTTGGAGCTACGTTGTTAGATTAAAATTTTAGAATTATTTTATCTTCCTGGTCAATATACCATTGTGCAGTCGTCCTCTTTTATGAATATTTTTATTTTTGAAGTCTGTTTCATCTGATGTGGTATAGCTACATCTTTTTTTTTAATGTTTATTCTGGCTCAGTGTATCTTTTATTCTTTTACATGGCTTCTGCATCCTTCTGTTTCAGGTGTGTGTCTCACAGACAGCGTATAGCTCTCAGTTCCTTGCTTGTCTTTACTCTGATCACCTTTGCCTTTTAAATGTCCAGAACAACAGGCACATGTGGCCGTTGAGCCCGTGGAAAATGCTATGTGGATGAAATACTTATATGTGGAAATGAACATTTTGGATATATTGGGTTAAATAAATTATATTGTTAAAATTAATTTCTCCTGTTTCTTTTTACTTTTTTCATGTAGCTACTAGAAAACCTAAAATTAGCTTCATGGCCCACATTGCTTTCTGATGGACGGTGCTGGTCTAGGCCACTTACACTGAGACCGTGGTCACCGTTGTCCTTGGATCCTTACGCTCTGTCCTACACTCTGCTGGTGGACCGTGGTCCTGCCTCGCCTTATAGTTCCTTTTTTCCCTACTCCTCCTTGGGAATTATTTAGATTTTTTTCCCCTTTTCCAACTATTATTACTTTTAATGAGTTTAGAAGTTATACGTTCTGTTTCTACTCTTTTAGAGTTGAATTCAAGAATATTTTTCTTCTAAAATACATCCTTTACTACGGCGACACCACCCTGAACAAGCCCGATCCCTTCTGGTTTCAGAAGCTAAGCAGGGTCAGGCCTCGTTAGTACTTGGATGGGAGACTACCTAGGAAGACCAGGTGCCATAGGCGTTTAAAAAATAAAATAAAATACATCCTTTAGAAGTTATTTTTTGTGGGTCTGTTGCTAATGAAGTCTCAGTTTGTATGTGTTTGTGTATGGTTTATATGTGTCTGAAAAATACCTTTATTCCATTCCTGTATTTGAAGGATATAATCCTAGTTCGAGTGTTATTTTCTCTTAACCCCTGGAAGGCAATTTGCTGCTACTGGGAACTCAGCGGCCAGTCTAGCCCTTACCCCCCTGTGGGCCACCCGCCTGCTTTCTCTGCGTGGGGGGTGGTGGGGGGTCTCTCTGTCTTCGGTGATCTGCAGTTTTACTACACCGTGTCTGGGCGTGGATTTCTTTTTCTTTATCCTGCTTTAATCATTGATATTTTTCAACAGTTTGGGAAATTTTGCAGTGTTATCTCCGAAAATACCCAAATACCCTTGTCCGCATTCACTCTACTCTCATTCTGGAGCATTTTCACATTAGTCTCTGTGACTTTCAACCTCTCCGCGTATGTTCAGCTCTGTCTCTGCTGAGTTCTGAATAATTTTTTCTCATCTATCTTCTGGTTACTTCACCATTCTCTCTTCAGTTGTTTCCGTCCTGTTTAACCTTTCGATTGGATTTTCAAATTCAATTATTTTGTAATTCTAAAGTCAGTTTATTCATTTTCAAAACCTGACTGGTCAGTTGTGGTAGTCTCCTATCGATCATAGCCTCACTCCCGACGCACATTTATTTCTCTAAATATATTAAACTTTACATTCTGTGTGTGGCGATTCCAATATCCGAAGTCTTCGCGGGTCACCCTGCGGGGTATGCTTTTGCCTCACCGGTCGAGTGCCAGGCAGGTCCTTGTTGGGATGGCGATTTGTGATTGCGAGCTCGTTCAGCCTGAAAGCTGTGTTTCAGATGTTGTCCTCTTGAGAGGCTGTGTCTGCCTCTGCTGGTCTCTGGTACCAGTGCAGACTCGGGGCCACCACAGCCCTGTGTGAGAGCTGGCACCAGACACCCTTGAGCACCGGCCTACAGTGTGTCAACTCCCAAGGCAGCTGTTCCCTGCCCCGGCCGAGGGTCAAGGTCAGAATAGGCTGGCTCCTCTGCAGGGCAGGGTTTCGCCTCCGCTTTATGTTTGGTCCCCTGGGAATGTTGCCCTTCGGGGTCTCAGCCTTCCACCCTGCTTGAGCGCCAGGCCTTTCACACTCGTGTTCCCAGAGGTGCACAGTCCGTTACAGCCCAGCAGCCGGGCCTTGGGAGACGTACCGTGGTCGATCTGGGCTTTCTTGGAGGTCTGGCCTCCGTTTGTTTTCCTTACTTTATTTCCGGGTCATCCATGTTCAAACTCGTTTTGTGTTTTTATACTTTACCAGCATTTTTAGATATTCCATGGAGGGAGTTTCTCTGCACACCTAGCTGGATACCGGAAATGGAAGGGTTGAATGCCGCTTCTCCATCTGTTGAGATGATTATATTGTTACCTGTTAACTTTGTGAGTTATATCGCTCTGTTTTCTAGAGTTAGCCTTGAGTTCTCAGGATAAACCCAATTTGTTCATAATGTATTGTCTATTTTTCTTTTTTGAAAATATATTACTGGGTTTGATTTGTAATCTTTGTATATCTGTTCATAAATGAAATTATAAGTTTTTTACATGCTGGCCTCTAGTTTGTGCAATCAAAATTATACTGGCCTCATAAAATGAGTTGACAGATATTTTCTCTCAGTGTTTTGAAGACATTTCGTTGTCTCCTGATACCCTGCTTGCTGACAGAAATCTGCCGTCAGTCCAAATATCATTCTTTTCTCTTTGGAACCTTTTAAGGTTTTCTCTTTGTCTTCGCTGCTATTGTATTTCACAGAATGCTGTCGAGGTTTATATTTTTTATTTCCTACTTAGAAATTGGTACGTTCCTTCAAACTATGGGCTTATAATGTCTTCAATTTGGAACATTCTCAGCCATTATTTCTTTACATATTCCTCTTTACTCATTTCTCTGTTCTCTCCTTCCAGGATTTCTACCCGCGTGAGTGTGAATGTCTGTCTCACTCTGTCCTCCCCATGTCTCTCAAATTCCCTTTCTTATTTTTCATATTTTTTCCGTCTCTCAGGGCCGTGCTGTGGATTATTTCCCCAGATCTGTCTTCCAGGCCACTAATTTTCTTTTCAGCTCTGTTCAGTCTGTTGTTAAGCCATCCATTGAGTTTTTCATTTCTTTTGTCATTTTCTAGAAAGTCTAGTTAGTTCTTTTTCAAGTCTTCTTTTTAAAAAATAATTTCCTGGGGGTGGCTCCATAGCGTAGTAGTTAGCACATCTGCTTTACAGACAGAAGGCCCTGGGTTCGCGCCCCAGGTGGAGCCACAGTCCATACCCCAGGCGCGCCAGGCCCCGGGTGCGCACCGCGAGCGCGTGGGAGGAGACGCCCCGCTTCAGAGATCCAGTTCTCAAGGGGAGATGACAACATCCATAGGTCAGGAGTGGAAGCAGGGGAGGAATTAAAAAGGGGGAAAAATAAAAAAATAAAAAATAATTTCCTGTTTTTCCTTAGAGATTCTGTTCCTTCATTTCTTCGACTATTTTAGACATACTCAAGTTACTGTATTTGTCAACTTATTCTTTGTTATGTAGTTCTGGGGAGTGATTTCTACTGTGACTGTCGTGCTGTTTGGCTCCTCTTTAGTTTGTAAGTTTAGTTTTTAACAGAGTCCCTCGCGGCCTGCGTCGTGGGGCAGGTCTGCGTGTGCCTGTGCTGGGCCTCCTCCTGGGTGCTGATTCCAGCCTTTCTGCGACTGTCTCAGGTCCGGGTCTCTGCACTGTGTGGGCAGTATGAATTTTGTGTGGACAGAGGATTCTGATTTCATATGGGTGCTTTTCCCACCCATGGCCCCAGAGAAGTGGGCAGCCTCCTTCTAGCCCGTTTGGACGGAGTTTTCCTGGTCCCCATCTCCCAGCTGGGACAGAGCCTCATGGCTCGTAGGTTCACACAGGCAGCTCAGCTCCCACCTCACTTGGACATCAAAGCCCAGACCCCAAGGCCTGCGTCCTGTTCCAGCAACTCCCTGGGCCACTTGGCTCCCACTTGAACTCTCGATTTGATTTTGCTTTCTCTTTGACTCTTATATCTGGAATCTTTCTTTGCATTCACTTGAACGCATGTGTGGGATTAAGGTTTGGGAGAAATTTGGGGGTAGATTTTATCTAGCATTTCTGTATTTAAAGTGAGAACAAGACCTCCCCACGGCAGCTCAGTGTTCCCCAGGGACCGGAGGTGTAGCTCTGAGAATGAGTTCATGTGTTCTCACCCTTTCCCACGCTCCCCACGTGCCCAGTACCGTGTGACCTCACGCTTTGCCCAGAAGACCCTGCAGTCCCCGCGCGCTCACACTTTCTCTTCCCCGCCCCCCCAGGCTCGTCTGCTGTCTGACCTCGGTGAGATCCATTTCCTTGGCCGGACGTGTGTCTGCTCCAGGGCTGAGGGTCCCTGATGCTGTGTGTTCACACATTCTCCCTTTCTTAGGCTCGGGGCCCCCGGTTCCTGCCCCTGACCTCTTAATGCAGATCAAGCAAGAGGGCGAGCTCCAGCTCCAGGAGCAGCAGGCTCTGGGGGTAGAGGCGTGGGCCGCCGGACAGCCGGACATCGGGGAGGAGCCGTGGGGCCTCAGCCAGCTGGACTCCGGAGCAGGAGATGTCTCCACAGATGCCACCTCTGGTGAGTGGCTGAGATGGAGGGCCGACGCCGGGAGGAGAGGCAGGGACGAGGGCCGGGCGCGGGGCAGGAGTTCCCGAAAGCTCGCAGCGTGGGAGCTGAGGGCTTTCAAACATCCCGCCTGACTAGCTTGGAAGTTTTCCCAACTTAAGGCAGGGGCTGCGCCGAATGACGCCTGCAGGCCTCCCAGGTTCGACGTGCTCTCCTGGTGTTTCTCTGCCTGTCCGCGCTGGGCCTCTAAATCACAGCCGCCTCGTGTTAAGGACGGACTCTGTGATGTCCGAGCTTCCTGGCGCCTCAGAGAGGGGCTCAGAAAACGGTTCAGGAGAGGCGGGGTCATCATGCTGGTGCAGAAAGGCCCCGGTGGGGGCTCTGGGGCTCCGGCTCTTCCTGTCCCACAGGGTTTTCCCCTAACCCACCGGCTCCGATCTCTCCTCATCGCAGGCGTCCACACCAACTTTTCAACCACTATCCCACCGACTTCCTGGCAGGCGGACCTCCCTCCCCACCACCCCTCCTCCGCGTGCTCGGACGGGACCCTGAAGCTCAACGCAGCGGCCTCCACGGAAGGTACAGGTGGCAGAGAGGGTGGGAAGGGCCGCCCCCCGATCCCCCGTTCTCGGTGGCGAACTGCGGCATTCAGGTATCCGCGGTGGAGGGGCCGTCCAGCCCCGCCTCTTCCTCCTTCCGACTCCTTAGCTTGAGCAGCCTCCCTTGAACTTGCCCACGTTTCCGGCTGCTCTTTCCTCGTGCTGAGTGTCAGGCCTGATAGGTCGATCCCTTGAGAGGATGCACCTCCTGCCCAGACTCAGCCTGGCTTTTCTCTGGCGTGGGAGAGACCGAACCACACCACACTGGGACGCTTCGTAGAGAGCGGCGCCGCCAGACAGGGGTCTGAAGGCCAGGATTGGGGCGAACAACTCCCAAGTTTATGCGTTACTTCTCTGTTTGTTTCTGCTTTGAAGGCCAGTTATCTGTTACTTTAACATGTAATTACCCAAAAATGCGTAAAAGCTTAGATCCCTGATATAAAACTTCAGGATATGAAATGGAAGGACTTTTACGTCAAACACAGTTTTCCTACTTCTCTAATATTTTATCGCTAGCCGGCTCCTTTATTGGATGCTCGCTGCTCCCACATGGCACGCGGCGTGACTTCAGGCCTCTTAGGCGCTTTAAGCCTCACCCAGCCCGGTGACAGGGTGTTCGCAGACGCGCCGCTGGTTAGGAAGTTACTGCTGGTCCGTGCGGAGCCACCGCGCTGTCGCAGGTCTGCCTGAGCCCCAACCCTGGGCTTTCGCCCCTTGGGTACGTCGCCCCCGGTGGTGAGAGTTCCCTCCTCAGGAGAAAGTCACGATTCGCCTTAACGGCCAAAGTGGAATTGGGACCCGGTGAGCAGATGCCACGGCTGCTTTACTGGCGGTGAAGGTTTTAGGACAGAGGTGTCCTCAGGGCTTGGGGCAGCTGCATGGCCACTTGGGAGACGCTCTGCTGAGCTGGATCCTGAGGCGTGTGGGGTTCAGTGTAGTGACAGTGGGGACCAGGAGCTGCTGGATCTCCAGATAAAAGTATCAGATCTTCGCTTTCTAAGCAGGCGAGGGGACAGAATGATACCTGGCCTTTCTGTCTCTCTCAGCAGATGTAAAAATTGTGATCAAAACAGAAGTCCAAGAAGAGGAGGTGGTGGCCACACCAGTGCACCCTACTGACCTAGAGGCCCACGGGCCCCTGTTTGGACCGGGGCAGGCCACCAGGTTCTTCCCCAGTCCGGTCCAGGAAGGAGCCTGGGACAGCCAGGGCGGCTCGTTCCCCAGCCAGGACCCTGTGCTGGGGCTGAGAGAGCCCGCCAGGCCTGAGCGGGACATGGCTGAGCCCAGCCCGGCGGTGGCCCAGGACGAGGCCCCTCCAGGGGACTGGCTCTTTGGGGGGGTCCGGTGGGGCTGGAATTTCAGGTGTAAGCCTCCCGTGGGCCTGAACCCGAGGACTGGGCCTGAGGGTCTGCCCTTCCCCTCCCCTGACAACGGAGAGGCTGTGCTGGACCCCGGCCAGGCCCCGAGACCCTTCAGTGACCCCTGTAAATACCCTGGCCGGACCAAAGGCTTCGGCCACAAGCCAGGCCTGAAGAAGCACCCAGCGGCGCCCCCGGGGGGGCGGCCCTTCACCTGCGCCACGTGCGGGAAGAGCTTCCAGCTGCAGCTGAGCCTGAGCCCTCCCCTGACAACGGAGAGGCTGTGCTGGACCCCGGCCAGGCCCCGAGACCCTTCAGTGACCCCTGTAAATACCCTGGCCGGACCAAAGGCTTCGGCCACAAGCCAGGCCTGAAGAAGCACCCAGCGGCGCCCCCGGGGGGGCGGCCCTTCACCTGCGCCACGTGCGGGAAGAGCTTCCAGCTGCAGCTGAGCCTGAGCGCGCACCAGCGCAGCTGCGGGCTGCCCG